TATACAGGAATGGGAGTATTTAGAAGAGCATGATGGCCTTGAGAAGCAGCTGGACATTGTAGAAAGCCGTAGGAAGAAACAACAGCCTCATATGGAGGGTAAGAGAGGACTTAGCGAAGAAGACAACTGGAAACTATTCATAAAGTTCTATTGTAAAGCGCTGAGCAAACTGTTGGCTCTATATAAATCCTGTATAATAATAAAGTAAAAAACGCCTAGACCTATCCTGAAACAAAAGGAATGAAATCCCAGATTAAAAAAATGGGACTTTAAATTGTGCCGGATATGAGGGATTATAAAATACAACCGAAATGTAAAAGCAAAATCCGTTTTATTACAAAATAAGTTTAAAATGCCATCTTCATATTAAAACATGACCATGAGATCCAAATGCAAACAGAAATGATCCCCCTTTGGGGCTTTAATGCAGCAAACAGCATCACACATATATTCATAAATGACTTTTCTATACTCGTATGTTTTATTCTACATAATTATTTGTAAAAGACATATCAAAGATTAAAAAACACGCTAGCTCTGATAACTGGATGTGAACCCTTTACAGGGTTATACCAATACAGCATTCCCTTAAATTACAACAATAAAGCATTCCCAGAATTTCCCGACGCACTTCGACCATTTCACTTTTAGATCTTCGTCAGGGGGAATTGAAGCAAAAGGGATCTCTAAATAAACATAATTTGAGATTTAAAAAAATATATACAGTCAGGTCCATAAATATTGGGACATCGACACAATTCTAACATTTTTGGCTCTATACACCACCACAATGGATTTGAAATGAAACAAACAAGATGTGCTTTAACTGCAGACTGTCAGCTTTAATTTGAGGGTATTTACATCCAAATCAGGTGAACGGTATAGGAATTACAACAGTTTGCATATGTGCCTCCCACTTGTTAAGGGACCAAAAGTAATGGGACAATTGGCTTCTCAGCTGTTCCATGGCCAGGTGTGTGTTATTCCCTCATTATCCCAATTACAATGAGCAGATAAAAGGTCCAGAGTTCATTTCAAGTGTGCTATTTGCATTTGGAATCTGTTGCTGTCAACTCTCAAGATGAGATCCAAAGAGCTGTCACTATCAGTGAAGCAAGCCATCATTAGGCTGAAAAAACAAAACAAACCCATCAGAGAGCTAGCAAAAACATTAGGCGTGGCCAAAACAACTGTTTGGAACATTCTTAAAAAGAAGGAACGCACCGGTGAGCTCAGCAACCCCAAAAGACCCGGAAGACCACGGAAAACAACTGTGGTGGATGACTGAAGAATTCTTTCCCTGGTGAAGAAAACACCCTTCACAACAGTTGGCCAGATTAAGAACACTCTCCAGGAGGTAGGTGTATGTGTGTCAAAGTCAACAATCAAAAGAAGACTTCACCAGAGTGAATACAGAGGGTTCACCACAAGATGTAAACCATTGGTGAGCCTCAAAAACAGGAAGGCCAGATTAGAGTTTGCCAAACGACATCTAAAAAAGCCTTCACAGTTCTGGAACAACATCCTATGGACAGATGAGACCAAGATCAACTTGTACCAGAGTGATGGGAAGAGAAGAGTATGGAGAAGGAAAGGAACTGCTCATGATCCTAAGCATACCACCTCATCAGTGAAGCATGGTGGTGGTAGTGTCATGGCGTGGGCATGTATGGCTGCCAATGGAACTGCTTCTCTTGTATTTATTGATGATGTGACTGCTGACAAAAGCAGCAGGATCAATTCTGAAGTGTTTCGGGAATATTATCTGCTCATATTCAGCCAAATGCTTCACAACTCATTGGACGCCGCTTCACAGTGCAGATGGACAATGACCCAAAGCATACTGCAAAAGCAACCAAAGAGTTTTTTAAGGGAAAGAAGTGGAATGTTATGCAATGGCCAAGTCAATCACCTGACCTGAATCCGATTGAGCATGCATTTCACTTGCTGAAGACAAAACTGAAGGGAAAATGCCCCAAGAACAAGCAGGAACTGAAGACAGTTGCAGTAGAGGCCTGGCAGAGCATCACCAGGGATGAAACACAGCGTCTGGTGATGTCTATGCGTTCCAGACTTCAGGCTGTAATTGACTGCAAAGGATTTGCAACCAAGTATTAAAAAGTGAAAGTTTGATTTATGATTATTACTCTGTCCCATTACTTTTGGTCCCTTAACAAGTGGGAGGCACATATGCAAACTGTTGTTATTCCTACACCGTTCACCTGATTTGGACTTATATACCCTCAAATTAAAGCTGGCAGTCTGCAGTTAAAGCACATCTTGTTTGTTTCATTTCAAATCCATTGTGGTGGTGTATAGAACCAAAAATGTTAGAATTGTGTCGATGTCCCAATATTTATGGACCTGACTGTATATATTTCCCCCTAGTGAGCTTTTTGTGTTGGTGCCCCCTCAGGCACCCTTTACTTGTGAGTGCATAGCGATCCTTACTTTTTATTTTCCCAATATTTTAATAAAATACTGCACTATGTTACATTGTTTTTGGGCTTTTTCCTCACTTATCCCAGAGCGGATTAGGATTTTCCATTTATAATATTCATGTGCGGAGTGGTTTGGTACCCCATGGAGAAAAGAGACCTCTTCAGACAGAGGATTTTTTTCCATACTGCTTGCTGGCTGCTTTTGTGGCCGATGTGATTTGGTGAGTTGGCAGCTCAGCTGATCACGCAGTGGAGCACATTTGGGTTTGCTTCTGAAGAAGAATTGGTCACCTTCTACCATTTTTCTTTTGCTAGATATTTGGGACTTTTTTTCAAACTTTGTTGTGAGTGTAATTGTGTTGGGATAAAATATTATGTGACACTCATTATCTATTCTATTAATAATATGTGATACGTATTGTAAAGTTTTATACACAACACAAAACAAACTTTTTTGGGCACATAAATTTGTTGCTCATAGATTTAAAGAGCTAGTGCCTTCCTTTTTTGACTGGCTTCCTATTTTGACTTAGAATAGTTCTCTACAAAGTATAAGTGTTGGTTACACCGAAAAGGGGCAGTTGCCTTGATTGATATACACTCACTGGCCACTTTAGTAGGTGCACCTTGCTAGTGCCAAGAAAATATCCCCCACACCATTACATCACCACCAGCCTGATCCGCTGATACAAGGCAGGATGGATCCACCACACCATTACACCACCACCACCACCACCAGCCTGAACCATTGATACAAGGTAGGATGGATCCACCACACCATGACACCACCACCATCAGCCTGAACCATTGATACAAGGCAGGATGGATCCACCACACCATGACACCAATACCACCAGCCTGAACCGTTGATACAAGGCAGGATGGATTCACCACACCATGACACCACTACCATCAGCCTGAACCGTTGATACAAGCCAGGATGGATCCATGCTTTCATGTTGTTTACACCAAATTCTGACCCTACCATCTGAATGTTGCAGCAACCAGTCTGCCCATTCTCCTCTGACCTCAACAAGGCATTTTCGTCCACACAACTGGATTTTTTTTTGCCTTCCTCTAGATCAACTGTAAGTGTAGGATTATATTTTTTTTTTATAGTTGAACTGGATGGATACTAACTATGTAACTATGTAACAACTGCACTCATTGGATATTTTGTCTTTTTTTTGGACCATTCTCTGTAAACGCTAGCGATGGTTATGCGTCCAAATCCCAGTAGATGAGCAGTTTTTGAAATACCCAGATCAGCCCGTCTCCCACCAACAACCATGCCACGTTCAAAGTCACTTAAATCCCCTCTCTTTCCCATTCTGATGCTCAGTTTGAGCTTCAGCAAGTTGTCTTCACCACATCTAGATGCCTAAATGCATAGAGTTGCTGCCATGTGATTGGCTGATTAGCAATTTGTAACCAAGCATCTTAACAGGTATACCTAATAAAGTAGCTGGTGAGTGTACACATTTATTTCTTTTGTGTGTGGTTTACACTGTAACATTTCTTTTAGCACATGTTATGGGTTGGTGCTTTCACATTTGAATTATATTTCATCCTAATGTATGATTGTTTGACCTCCAACTCTTTTTAATTTATTTCTCTCAATCAGACTCCTCAACGAGCAATAGTGAGTCTACAGTGTTCCACCAAGCTTCCGTTCCTGTGTACATCAGTAAAGACCGAGGCATCATCACAGTCAGTCCTCACAACTCCTCCTTTAAAGTGGTCCAAAGCAGCTCAAAACCCACCATTGTCACAGCCACTGCCTCACCCACAGAAGGCTTTAAGCTGCCTGAAATTTACATTCACATTCCAACAGATCAAATTGACTATGAGGCCATTCCTAACAACTTTACACCTTACGTTCCAGAGAATTTTTCGAGCTTGGATATCTGCAAGCCTGTGGTTCATAGCGATGAAATGTCCACATCCGGTATCAGAGATAAGCTCACACAAGTGGATTTTATGGCTGTTAAGATCAAAGACGAACCAGCAGACTGGGATGAAGAACACCTTGGAGTGCAGGGGGGGGAGGAGGAACAGATGAATCACTTGCCTCACGGGTCAGAAAGTGATCCAGCATTGTATACAGAAAGTAATAGTGGCTCCAATCATGCAATAGGTTCATATACTCCCACTCACATAAAGCAGGAACCAGCTTCATATGAAGAAAGGCAACTGGCAAACTCTGATATTGCTTCATTGTCACGCTACTCCCAGATACAAAAGCTGTCAGAACCCTCCACCAGGGAGAACTTTTCAAGCACAGATGGCATGCTGACTAGCATAAACACACATGTTCAGTATGTGTCCTCTCATATCAAGGAAGAACCTGAAGATGGCATGACATGTGAAAATGTTTTATTGGATGCAGCCAACAAAGGCCTGTCTCCTGCTTCTTCTTTCCTGGGAGCACACACTGAAGAGGTCTCCTACAATTATTATTTGGCACATTCCAGCAATGCGCAACCAGAAACGGACAATCCAGAGAAGCCCTTTTCTTGTTCAGAATGTGGCAAGTGCTTCAAATACAGCAATCTTTTGATGCATCATGCCAAGTCCCATCAGAAAAAGCCTCTGATCTGCTGCGAATGTGGGAAGCAGTATTCATGCAAGACAGAGTTTGAGATCCATCGGAGGATTCACACAGGCGAAAAACCATTTGTATGTTCAGAGTGTGGAAAGGGCTTCAGGAGGAAGTCGCATATGTTGCGCCATCGGCGAATTCATGGGGACAAACAACTCTTTCCGTGTCGGAATGTGCCAAGTGTTTCCACCGTCTAGACGTCCTCAATCAACACCGCAAAATACACAGGGTTAACCAATCAATCTCTGATATGGAAAGCCTGCACGCAGGTAACATGGACAACTCTCCATCCAACAACGATGAAGAGATACCATCTCAAAACCCATCTACAGATTATGAGGAAAATATTGGCTTTGCCTGTCCGGACTGTGGTAAGTGTTTTCACTCTTTGCATGTTCTCGAACAACACCGTAAAATACACCAAGAAAATACTTCTAGTTCTGATGTGGAAGATACTGATAACATGAACCATGCACACACAAATGGTCAAGAGGAGTCTCAAAATACAACATATGAAGAAAAAGTTGGCTTTGCTTGTTCAGAATGTGGGAAATGCTACGATGAAATGTCACAGCTAGAGAAACACCAGCGAGTACACATGGGAGAAAAACCATTCTCTTGCACTGAATGTGGCAAATCATTCCGATTTGAGGCCCTTTTGGAGTTGCACTGGGGAAGCCACATTGCCACAATCTCTTGTCCTGAGTGTGGCAAGAAATTTGCCAGCCAGAGCCTTCTAAAGTACCATCTGAAAGTCCACGCAGGAGCTAATGAGTGTGTCTGCTCAGAGTGTGGAAAAGAATTCCCTAGCCGTTCGCAACTTGTTGATCACTACCGGACTCATACTGGAGAAAAACCTTACATGTGCCCTGATTGCGGAAAGTACTTTAGGCGGAAGGCACATGTGGTCAGGCACCGCAAGATTCACGCAGGTAATAAACCATACTCCTGCTTGGAATGTGGAAAATGCTTTGAGAACCAAGAACTTCTGAGCCGTCACACCAAAATGCACAGGCGGAAAAGGCCACACTCGTGTTCTCAGTGTGGCAAAAGTTACACTAAAAAGTCCCACCTCTCCCGCCACCAGCGTACCCATGCTAAAGAAACTCCATACACTTGTGGTGAGTGTGGTGAGTCCTTCCAATACCCCACCCTCCTGAATCACCACTTGAAACTCCACACTGGTCAAACCAACTACAACTGTCCTGTGTGTGACAAAAGCTTTGGCTCCCAGTTGGCACTGGCCAGACACCAGAAGACCCACTCCAAGGAGAAGTCTTTTATTTGCATGGATTGCGGGAAGAGTTTTAACTTCTATTCCCACTTCATGAGACATCAAGCCACTCACACAGGAGAAAAACCTTATGAGTGCCAGGAGTGTGGCAAGCGATTCACCCGTGATGCACACCTTGTCCGACATAGGCGAACCCACAATAGTGGAAGAGCTTCACAAGTTTGAGTTGGCAGAAAAAAAAAAAAAACTGATTTAGAGTAAAATTATTTATTACCTTTCTTAGTTTTATGTTCTTCAGTTATATGTTTTATGTAGCATGAGATACAATGATTTTGGTCATTTTTGTGTCTATTTGAAATCTAAAATAGGGACTTTGCTTCAAAGGGGACCTGTCACATATGAACAGTGGAGGACAAAACCAAAAATGGATAAATCCATCCACTGGCAGCCAGCGACTTCACACGTGATGGAATCTCGGGACAGACCAATAGAAATTATGAGAAAATTACGAATTAAAATGGCCAGAAACCTTTTGTTTTATATAGTCAGGTCTTGGAACTATCAGTGTTCCTGTGCTATTTAGAATTAGCTATCGTCAAAATACGGTTGTATACAGTATGTCACTATGGGAATGGTGGTCAATGATTGGAAGCCATGCATAGTTTGTAGGTAACAAAAAAATGATTATACTACAATGTCATTCTTTTAATTGTTTAGATGTTTTACTTCAATAGAATGTGAATATTTTTTTTCTCATCCCACGGTTACTTGTCACTTCCCCGCCTCCTTTCTGAGTCGGAAAGCATCTATCCACACTTTCTTAGTGCTTAAGAAGCTATGATAACTTTGAGATCTTTATGGGAACCTGCCAGGACAGCTACCTGCCAAGATGAAGCTCCCATCACACAATTTCTAGAAGCATCATTACTTCCAGGAAAGGCTTAGCATGCTGTGCTCTGGAAGTGGTGCTGATTTCCTCCACTATTTGGCGTAAATTTTATCTGTTCTTGTATCCTCAATTTAATTATTTTTTTGCTTTGGATATTTTAACAAGTCAGGAGGCACCAAAGTATTGGATGTGAATTATCACCACAGTGGTACTTATGGCTGTGGTGGCATGGTATTTGTTCAGATGGTGGTAGTCATTTGCCTGAAGTTTACTCCTGGAAGCTAGGTTGACCTTGAAAGGGTCATTTTTGGGGGTTAGGTTAAAGTCGTTTAAAGGCTAAAGGTTTTTTACCTTTTTAAAGGATAAGTTCACCTTTTAACAAAAAATATTAAATGCACATCTTTTTGCAGGTAAAAAAATGTGCGTTTTTCCAATTTTTTTTTGTTTTGGGAGCCTGTAAAGCATTGCCCCACAGATTGCTGGTTCCATGAAGGACTCCTGCAGACCTGTGAGTGTATCTCTCGGCTCATACCTCGTTCGACAGGAAGAATCAATGAACTACCACAGCAGTCAACAGCGCCATGGTAGTTCATTGAGAACTACAAGCCGACAGCCGCCGCAAAGGCTTTTGGAACTTGTAGTTTTCCCATTTACAGAGTACTGCGAATGAGTGATGTGGGCGGAGCCCAGCATGGCTGTGGGTTTTTTTTTCCTAATTGTGGCAGCTGTGAAGGTAGAAGATCCCTGTCAAAACAGGGGATCGGGGGCCAGTCCTTTTGTAACATGTTACATCCTGAATATGAGTGTAACATGCTACAAAAGGTGAACTTATCCTTTAATGCAGTCTCTGCAAGATTAGCTGCTCCCCAGACCCCATAAATGCCTCCCTGAGCCAAAACTTGATCCAATGCTGTTTGCTGCTGTCTCTCTCTTCATTGGACATACAGTCAGCAGGGGGAGCCATTGGCTCTTGCTACTGTCAATCAAATCTGGTAAGGAGGGATCGGGAGGTGGGAGAGGTGGTGCCACATACTATAGAGGCAGACACTGAAGAGGAATGGGCAGTGCCGGCAGGGTACCCAAGAAGAGGAGGTTTGGGGCCACTCTGCACAATACCATTGCACAGAGCTAGTAAGTATAATATGTTTGTTATTTTATTTTTTTAAAAAAACAGCCTTTAGACTGCATTTTCCACAAGCATATATAAAAAAAATTTTCCAGATCTTTTCAGGGAAGCCCACTGTTGAGTTTGCTTCATGTTGCTGACCTATGGCAAGCCAGTGCTTTGCAACTAACAGAAGCGTTGTTGGCCTGTACACGATCCTTCACTGGGATTGTGAAGGTCATGCCAACGCCCTGTAATCTCTACACTACCACTGGATGTCAGCACGTCCCCAACTTCTAGTCATGCCTCCCACACCATCTTATCAGAAATAGGATTTCACCTGTGCTTTCATATATACATACACAAGGCCACCTGAAATGCGTAGTTCTGGACTGACCACCAGTACACGTCATCGATAGGAGCAGTGCAATTGATTCTATGGTGCATGTGCACTAACCATAACTGGCGGCAGGGATAATTTAATGTGCATATCATATGCTTTTAAAAGAAATAAAAAGTAAGTTGGATTTTTTTTCGTTGAATTTGAACTTTAGTATGCTTTACATACACTAAACGTTATTTGTGCAGCCATTTCTCCCACACCAAAAGTGGTTTCATACGCAGGAAACCAGGAAAGAGAGGGGGAAAAGTGCGTTCTATGTGTAGTAGTTTAAAGACCATTGGCAACCATTTCCCTGCAAACAGCACTGACAGGTCCCTCTGCCTCCTCCAGAACCATGCTGAAATGCACCAACCTGCCTGGCGGAAGCGACATCACCATGAGAGGATGACCGGGCATGACTACGCATTTCAAAGCCTGCACACTCCTTACTCAAGGACTTGAAGGAGGAGTGTGCATGCTCCAAAACACGTAGCCATGCCCTGTCGTCTTACCATCACGTAGTCACTTCCACCTGGCGGGCCGGTGGGTTCCAGTGTGGGGCAGAGGGACCTTTCAGCGCCAGCACTGACCACACTGCACGGAGACCGCCTGCAGGGACAGGATTAGGATTCCAGTAGCTTGTTTTTTGTGAAGAGTTTTATATTTGCACATGTGAGTTGCCAATTGTTTTAAACCATAAATATGTCCTGTAACTTCTCTTAGAAGGTGCTATCCCCCTTTCCTTGTCTCATATACCAGAATCGACTTCTCTTGTGTCAGCAGCCGTAAGTGTTACAGACCTTTTGGATCTATTATCCTAGAGACTTTATTATTGGTCTTTTATATATTTATATTCCTTGGGGGTGTCTACCAAACTTTGTGCGCCATTCATGTTTCCCTTTTATAAGCAGAAATCTAGGTTATCTGTAGCTAATTTGGTGAGTGGGGGGGGGGGGTTAGATGCTTAGGGATAGGTATGATTGGTAAGAAATCTACCAAGAAATATGGGTCCATTGTAGGATATTTTGTTGTTAGCTCCCAGTGTTTCCTCCCCCCCCCCCCCCAATGTAGGACCACTATTAACCTTTCCATGAACAAGACTATGTTGAGGCTCCAAGTATGCTTGAAGGTAAATCTGACCTCCTCTGCTTTGATCCCTTTTGTTCCATTAAACATACCATTGAAAGCATATTGTTATATCTGATGAGTGAAAAATACCTGTTGATCCTGCCAAGGCTCTTGTCAGTTGGTAACTTTCTGAGCTTTCTTACTGTACTGACTAATATCAGCTACATTATTCCAAGGACTACAGAACCTCAGCCATTATGTTACATGCAGGGGGAGGTTCCAGTAGTTATGTCCTGTAGTTAATGTGTCCTAATACACTAGGGTGTGTGAGCATTGTTGTTCAAGGACAACAAGCGTGTTATTGGCAGGATCACCAGGTAAAAATAAAGCCTAAACATGTACCCACTATATGTGCGCTACAATACATTGCATTTTTTTAAAATCTTTTATCTCTTTGAGACACCAGATCTTGCACTTAAGCTCCGCCCTCCGCTTTGATCATACTCATTCAGTAAATGCTGCCTATAAAAGACATATGTTGGGGCATACATTTTCACCCTCTTTCCTCCTCGAGTCACCTTTGGTTGTAGATGCAGCTGTATGTCAGTATCAGCTTTGCTGGATCTTTCTAATGTTTCCCATTCTTTTGGCAAGATTGGCCTTTTTCTAGCAGGTTGGATTTGTAAACGAGCACTTTGTAGAAAGACCATAAAGTTCAATTTCAGTCTGATCAGACACTTATTCCACCTTTGCCATGTCTCTAAAATCCCTCGCTTAGAGAGTATCTCACCAAAAATGGCTTTTATGTTGCAGAGGATGCCTAAAATCTGACTTGTATCTTAGTGCAGAGTTCTTCACCCAAGCAGGAAATGAGATGTGTGCGTGTGCATATACACTATATTGCCAAACGTATTAGGACACCCCTCCAAATCATTGGATTCAGGTGTTCCAATCACCTCCATGGCCACAGGTGTATAAAATGAAGCACCTAGGCATGTACTCTGCTTTTACAAACATTTGTGAAAGAATGGGTCATTGTCTGGAGTTCAGTGAATTCAAGAGTGGTCGTGATAGGTTGCCACCTGTGCAATAAGTCCATCATTGCTACTAAATATTCAACGGTCAACTGTTAGTGGGATTATAACAAAGTGGAAGCAACTGGGAACAACAGCAACTCAGCCACCAAGTGGTAGGCCACGTCACATGACAGAGCGGGGTCAGCACATGCTGAAGTGCACAGAAGTCACAAACTGTCTGCAGAGGCAATAGCTAAAGACCTCCAAACTTGGTGTGGCCTTCAGATTAGCACAACAGTGCGTAGAGAGCTTCATGGAATGGGTTTTCATGGCCAAATAGCTGCATCCAAGCCTTACATCACCAAGTGTAATGCAAAGCGTGGTGTAAAGCACGCTGCCACTGGACTCTAGAGCAGTGGAGCCATGTTCTCTGGAGAGACGAATCACACTTCTCTGGCAAACCGATGGGACGTGTCTGGGTTTTGCGGTTGCCAGGGGAACAGTACTTGTCTGACTGCATTGTGCCAAGTATAAACGTTTTTGGTGGAGGGGGGATTATGGTGTGGGGTTGGGTTGTTTTTCAGGGGTTGGGCATTTTTGACAATTTCATGCTCCCAACTTTGTGGTAAGAGTTTGGGGATGGCCCCTTCCTGTTCCACCATGACTACACACCAGTGCACAAAGCAAGGTCCATAAAGACATGGATGAGCGAGTTTGGGGTGGAGGAACTTGACTGGCCTGCACAGAGTCCTGACCTCAACCGGA